AAAAGAAAAAGATAAAAACAAACAAAAACAGAACAAAACAAAACAAAAAGAATATGATCAAATATGATCAGGCTGGTGCATAGATCAGTGCCACACACTAGATTTTGGGTGTATTTTGGTCTGTTAGAAGTGCCTCCCAAAATTTTAAAGAAAGATAAACTTATATATGTACAAAAATAAGGGTTAATACAATGAAGGGATGGAATATGACTGTAAAGATGAAAATTATAAAAGATTTTATAAAAGGAATTGATAAGTTATTTGAAAAAAAGAAGAGGATTTTTTTTAAAAAGGGAGAGAATGTGATCAGGCAGGAGACTAGAACAAAGCCATACACTAGAGATTTAGGGTATATTTGGATCTGTTAGAAGAAACTGTATCTCAAAATTTTAAAGAGAGAACAACTTATATATATATGCCAAAAGTAAGGGTAACTACTATGAAGGGATAGGATATGACTCTAAAAATGAAAAATAAAAATGTTTTTTTAAAAAAGGGGATTGATAAGATGTTGGTTGAAAAAGGGAAAAAGAAAAATTCAAAAAAAAAAAGACAGTTAAAAAAATGAACTTTGTGGGCGCCTGGGTGGCTCAGTTGGTTAAGCGACTGCCTTCGGCTCAGGTCATGATCCTGGAGTCCCTGGATCGAGTCCCACATCGGGCTCCCTGCTCGGCAGGGAGTCTGCTTCTCCCTCTGACCCTCCCCCCCTCATGTGTTCTCTCTCATTCTCTCTCTCTCAAATAAATAAATAAAATCTTTTTAAAAAAAATGAACTTTGAAAGACTAAAGAATCATAGTAAAAAAGCCATGAATTCTATGTGCAGTATTCCCCTAGCGCTGGAGTTCTGCCGTTCTCATTGATGGGTAAACTTGGTCTTGGCTGGCTGTTCTTGCTGATCTTCTGGGGGAGGGTCCTGTTGCCGTGGTTCCCAAATGTCTTTGCCGGAGGCGGAATTGTCCTGCACTTGCCGGGTCCAGGCTAAGTAATCTGCTCAGGTTTGCTCTCGGGAGCTTTTGTTCCCTGCAAGCTTTCCATACAGCTTTGGAGGATGAGAGTGAAAATGGCAGCCTCCCAATCTCTGCCCCGGAGGAGCCGAGAACTCGGGGCCCCACTCCTCAGTGAGCCCCCAGAGTAAAGCAGTCAATCACTCCCATCTCCCCGGTCTCCGGCCGCACTCCTTGCTCATCCGGGCTGTGACCGAGCGTTTCTAGCTCTGGCACCTGACTCGGTGTGGAGTCTCCAAACCCAGCAGATCCCTGCAGTGCGCTCTGGCGCTGCTCCTCCTGGGGGAGGAAGGTGAGTCTCCCCGGATCTGCCACTTGTTGGGTCCCTGCTGGAGGAGCAGTGGCCCGACTATGCCACGGATCACGGTTTATGGCAACCCCGAGCTGAGAGCCCACGCCTGGGCTCTGTCTCTGCAGCCAGCTTCCCCGCTCCAATACCTGGGAGCTCTGCTGCACTCAGGCACCCCCGGTCTTTCTGTGACCCCGAGGGTCCTGAGACCACACTGTCCCACGAGGGTTCCACACCCCGCTTAGCCACTGGAGCGACGTCCCTCAGTGGAGCCGACTTCTAAAAGTTCCGATTTTGTGCTCCGCAGCTCTATCACTTGTCGGTAAGTGGCTGACGGAGGCCCCCTCCCCCGCCATCTATCCTCCGGAATATCCCCTCGGATTCACTTATCCGCACGTCCTACCTTCCAGAAAGTGGTCACTTTTCTGTTCAGAGAGTTGTTGCTATTCTTTTCTTCGATCTCCTGTTGAGTTCATAGGTGTTCAGGATGATTTGATCCCTATCCAGCTGAATTCCTGGGACCAGATGAAATCCAGGTCTCGTACTCCTCCGCCATCTTGCTCCACCTCCCGTTCAGTATAATTTACTTCTTAACCAAATAGTGTGACAGATCCCTGTGTGACAGAGCTTGAAGGCTAGATTAAACACTCAGCATATTTCTGAAGTTGGGAAAATCCTGAGGGACTAAGGTGGGCCCACTTCTCCTGGTTTGTCATGGTGGTAGTGAGAAGTCTCTTACATACCAGGTGAGGAATTCTTTATTCAAGTGTTTGGCAGAATTCTGTGCTTCAAAGTTTCCACATGGCATGTTTCATTATAAAATATCTGAAGCTTTCAAAATATGAAATCTGTCAACATGAAACCACTGTGGATGTGAGTTTGTAGTTTCAAAATCTGTTAAAGACCTGTTGTCCATGACTCACGCTCTTCTCTCATTTCTTGGAGTCCTTCATTTCTATCAAGACGTGTTAATACTGGAAATCTGTGCAGTGCGTGTGTGTATGTGCCAATTATAGCCTTTCTAAGGTGACATCTCATTGTGGTTTTGATTTGCGTTTCCCTGATAATTAGTGATGTTGAGTATCTTTTCACGCACCTTTTGGGCATTTGAAATCTAAATATGAAATAAATATTTGAAACCTATTATCAGGGTGCCTGGATGGCTCAGTCAGTTAAGTGGCTACCTTCAGCACAGGTCATGATCTCAGGGTTCTGGGATGGAGCCCTGCTTCAGGCTCTCTGCTCAGTGGGAAGTCTGCTTCTCCCTCTCCCTCTGCTCCTCACCCCCCGCCACTTGTAAGTGTGCACTGTCTCTCTCACATAGATAAATAAAATCTTTTTTTTTTAAGATTTTATTTATTTATTTGAGACAGAGAGAATGAGAGAGACAGAGAGCACATGAGAGGGGGGAGGGTCAGAGGGAGAAGCAGGCTCCCCGCCGAGCAGGGAGCCTGATGCAGGACTCGATCCCGGGACTCCAGGATCATGACCTGAGCCGAAGGCAGTTGCTTAACCAACTGAGCCACCCAGGCGCCCGATAGTAAAATCTTTAAAAAAAATTTTTTTTAATTTAAAAAAAGAAGCCTATTATCTCTTTAGGTCCTTTGCCCATTTTTTAATCAAATTATTTGCTTTTTTGCTATTTGCTATTGAGTTGCATGACTTCCATATGTATTTTTTTTTTAAGATTTTATTTATTTATTTGACAGAGAGAGAGATAGCGAGAGCAGGAACACAAGCAGGGGGAGTGGGAGAGCGAGAAGCAGGCTTCCTGCCGAGCAGGGAGCCCGATGTGGGACTTGATCCCAGGACCCTGGGATCATGACCTGAGCCGAAGGCAGACTCTTAACGACTGAGCCACCCAGGCGCCCCATATGTATTTTAGATATTAACCTCTTATCAGATAAATGGTTTGCAAATATCTTCTCTCACTCCATAGATTGCCTTTTTATTTGTTGATTATTTCTTTTGTTGTGCAGAAGCCTTTAATTTGATGTAATCCCACTTGTTTATTTTTGCTTTTGTTGCTTGTGCTTTTTGGTTGTCACATCCATAAAATCATTGCCAAACTGTTGTCAAAGAGCTTTTTCTCTGTTTTTTTTTTTCCCTAGGAGTTTTGTGGTTTCAGGTTTTACATTTAAGTCTTTAATCCTTTTTGAATAAATTTTTGTGAGAGGTATAAGATAGGGATACAGTTTCATTCTTTTGCATATGAGTATCTAGTTTTTCCAGCACCATTTATTGAAGAGTCTGTCTTTTCTCCATTGAGTATTCTTGCCTCTCTTGCCCAGTATCAATTGGCCATATGTGCATGGGTTTATCTCTGGACTCTTGATTCTGTTCCACTGGTGTATATGTCTGTGTTTATGACAGTATCATACTGTTGTTTTTTGTTTTAAGATTTTATTTATTTGACACAGAGAGAGAGAGGGAGAGAGCAAGCACAAGCAGGGGAAGCGACAGGCAGGAGAGAAGCAGGCTCCCCACTGAGCAAGGAGCCCGATGTGGGGCTCAATCCCAGGACCCTGGGATCATGACCTGAGCCAAAGGCAGCCGCTTTACTGACTGAGCCACCCAGGCGCCCCCATACTGTTTTGATTAGTATAGCTTTGTAATATAGTTTGAAATGAGGACATGTGATGCATCCAGCTTTGTTTTCTTTCTCAAGATTACTTTGGCTATTCAAGGTTTTTCAGGGTTCCATAGAAATTTTAGGATTATTCTTTCTATTTCTGCAAAAAAAAAAAATGCCATTGGAATCTTGATAGGGATTACATTGAATCTATAGATAGCTTTGGGTAGTATAGGCATTTAACAATGTTTACTGCTCCAATCCATGAACATAGAACATCTTTGCATTTATTTGTGTCTCCACTTTCTTTCATTAATATCTAAATCCCAATTGATCACAGTGTATAATCCTTTCAATGGGATGTTGAATTTGGTTTGCTAGTATTTTGTTGAGAAGTTTTGCATCTATATTCATCAAGGATATTGGCTTATTGTTTTCTTTTCTTGTAGTGTCCTCATCTAGCTTTGCTACCAGTGATGCTGGCCTTGTAAAATGAGTTCAGGAAGATTATCTCCTCTTCCCAAACTTCTTTTCTAAACATCATTCTCAAATTTGTCTTTTTTGCTTCCTTGTCCCTCTATGTCCTTTTCTCTCTCAACCTGATGGCAGGTTGAGATTATCTGGAACCATCATCTTGAGTAAGAAGGTATCTTTAGGGGCAACTGGGTGGTACAGTCAGTTAAGCACCTAACTCTTGGTTTTGGCTCAGGTCATGATCTCACGGTCATGAGATTGAGCCCCACATTGGGCTCCATGCTAGTTAGTAGCTAAGTGACTTGAGGCAAAATACTTTTATACTCTTAATATCAATTTCCTCATCTATTACTAAAAGAGAGGTTTTATAACTATTAAATTAAATAACATATGTAAAGTACTTAGCACAGTTCCTGATAATTAGTATTTAATATAGTTTAGTTACTTTTATTTTCCTTCAAAATCCCAAGGATGGCTCCTGCTGGGCTTTTTTTTTTTTTTCCTGTCTGTGTAGTACTGTTTAGAGCCTATGAACTATAGGGCCCCCCTGACCTCCAAGAACAGAGAGAAGTTTGTTGAGAGATAAGTCTCCAAAAGGTAGATCTGAAGCAGCACATGCCTTGGATGAAATGTTAATTTAATTCTTTTTTTGATTTTCAGATTTTCCTGTTTTTAGGCAGCATGTGTTTTATCCTAGCAATTGGGCATGGCATTTGGGAGAACAAGAGAGGCTACTACTTCCAGGATTTTCTGCCATGGAAAGAATATGTGTCTTCATCAGTTGTCTCTGCTGTCCTCATATTCTGGTCCTACTTCATTATTCTCAACACTATGGTGCCCATTTCCCTTTATGTCAGGTAGGCTTTTTTGACCACTTTGTGTTATAGGGGGAGGAACTGACTTTATACTTCCTGCTTAACTCCCCAAATAGAGTGTGAATGTTTAGAAAGCATAGATTGTGTGCTCTTCAACTCTTTACTTCCCACAGTGCCCAATGTACAAAACACTCTGAGAAATGTCTAAAGATAGGGGTGCCTGGGCGATGCAGTCAGTTAAGTGTCCGACTCTTGGTTTCAGCTCAGGTCATGATCTCACGGTCCCAAGATTGAGCCCTGCATCTGGCTCTGCACTCAGCGCAGAGTACACTTGGGATTCTCTCTTTCCCTCTCCCTCCGACCCTCCCACTTGTTCTTGCTCTTGCGCATTCTCTCTCTCTCAAATAAATAAATAAATCTTAAAAAAAAAAAAAAAAGGATAAGAAACTGCCAAACTTCTTGTCCAAGTGTTTAAAAACAAAAAAAAAGAAATGCCTAGAGATTGTGTAAGTGCTTTCCATATCCAGAATACTGTGCTAGATACTATGTGAGTTATACAAAAAGAAAATCATCCCTACCCTCAAATGGCTTTTAATGTAAATGACTAAATAAGACATATTAAACACATGCAATAATTAGAAAAAATGCACACAAATTTGGTGATGCTGAAGCTCAAGCCAGGCAGCCCCTAGTTAATTAAACAGATAGGTTCCAAACATTCATTTGTAAATCAGTTAATCAGAACTCACAATTTGTTTTCCCATAGAAACAATGTGGCAAATGGTAGATAGGTATAATTATGACCTAAGTTCTGGTTTCTAAAAGTTGGCGAAGAAAAGGATGTTTCCTCCTCTTTGCATGGACAAAAATTTGAAATAGGTAAAATAAATCTTTGCTCTCCTTTTTGTTTTCATCATTCCCTTTCACACATGCACACCCAGACACATTTTCACATCCTTCTTCCCAAGTTTCCTAAACCCTGAACTGGGACAGTCCAACTTGAAAAGCACCCTAAGTGACTAAATTATTTTATTAATTTAATATTTATTGGGCACCTACTATGTGCCAAGCACTATATTAGGTGCTAGAAATAGAAACATGAATAACAAGACAGCTGTTTCTCTAGATAAGCTTATAACATAGCCATGGAAACAGATACTTAAATAATTATGGTACAATATGGAAAATGATGTAATAGGAATATATATGGGAATGCTATGGGAGACTAGAAAAAGAATGGGTTGATTCTACCTGAAGCGCCTTGGGGATTTACAGAAAAAGTAATAATCAAACTGGTATTTGAGAAAAGAGTAAAATTCACCAAGTACAAAATAGCAAAACAATATTGCAAACAGAAAGATCAGCATGTATGAAGGTTTGGTGTTTTTTAAAAGCTTGATCTGGTCAGAGAACAGTGAGTAGCCTAGGGCAAAGTGTTGGATGGTAATTTAGCATCAGATCCAGGAGAGCCTTAAATGCCAGGCCAAGCAGTTTGGATTTTATCCTAAAAGCAGGAAAGACCTTCCTAAGGATAGAAATAATATGACTATATGTTTGGGTTTAGAGAAATTGCTATGTTGGTTAGTATGGCAAAGGAAGGGAGGGATCAAGATTCAATGCATGAGGTCTAGTAGTCAATAATGTGGGCTAGAGGGGCACCTGGGTGGCTCAGTTGGTTAAGCGACTGCCTTTGGCTCAGGTCATGATCCTGGAGTCCTGGGATCGAGTCCCACATCGGGCTCCCTGCTCAGCAGGGAGTCTGCTTCTCCCTCTGACCCTCCCCCCTCTCATGCTCTCTCTATCTCATTCTCTCTCTCAGATGGATAAATAAAATCTTTAAAAAAAAAATTAATGTGGGCTAGAGCCCTCCGACCTCACCTGAAATAAAAAAATCCATGTTGCTCAATGCAGCTGTCTCTTAGAAGCAACCTAAACTAACACACATTAAGCATGAATGATGATAGGAAGGAGGCCCCTTAAAAATCTTACCGTGTTAAAATGAAGATGCTTGTTAACCATAAAGAATCTATAATGTACCTTACTTGTAACAGAAGAGGAATGTGACAAAGACAATAGGGAAAATTCAGATAAAGTGAAGAGGACACTATTGGGGGTGGGGGTGAGGGAGAAGCTACCCCACAGGCAGATTGGGTCTGCCAGGACATCTATCAGAAGGTCAGCTTCTATAAGCTGTTTCTGATTTTCACACATCTTTCCCTTTTCTGAAACAAAGAAGCTTCTGAGTGTTTCAAATTTCTCTCTTCCTCACCAGTGGATTTACATGACAGCCACAGTAATCCTCTAATTAAACCTGGGCAGCCTTTTATTAGTTAGTTCTTAATTCTGTCAGGCCTTGCATTACTACAGAAATTCAAAATATTTTACTTTTCCTGGGTATGTTTTGGAAGAAGAAAGAATGAAAGGGGGTTATGCCTCAGCAAAATTAATCAAGTATGTCTCAGGTGGTAAAGCCCTGAATGATAATGGTCAAAATCAGAATTACATAGGGTTGGCTGGTGGGAAGCGTCCTTCAAAATCCATGGTAGGTTCCCAAGGAAGATATTCTGATTTTCAGGTGCTCACCTGACCTATCACAGGACTGTTAAGAAGGAAACCACGATGATGTATTTGATCTGTTCTGACCCAGGACCCTTCTTTTCTTGCTTTCTTCATAGTGTTGAGATAATAAGATTGGGCAACAGTTACTATATCAACTGGGATCGGAAGATGTTTTGTGCACCAAAGAACACGCCAGCACAGGCTCGAACCACCACCCTTAATGAGGAGCTCGGCCAGGTCAAATATGTGTTCTCTGACAAAACAGGAACCCTGACTCAGAACATCATGATTTTCAATAAGTGTTCTATTAATGGGATATTCTATGGTATGCATGCCTTCCTGCTTTCCCTGAGTCCTAGGGAAATTCTACCTTGCAGATTGTTTTCGAGAGTAATCTCCCTCTAAATCTATATGCCTCTGAAATTCACATTTACCTCTTATTTTCCAGCCTTCTCTATTCACTAGGCAAAGGTCCCCTACTCCATTTAGTTGCTTACCAAAAAGCATTTATTCAACACCTTATAGAGGTAATCCATTGTGTTGGACATTGGAAATACCTAGATGTACAAGACTTAATCTCTGTCCTCGAGGAATTCCCGATGTCTTGAGAGTGTCAGTTCACTCTCATATTAAATCAAACAGAGAAACCAGCATGTTGTTGAAGCTGCTAATCTCCTGGTTCCCCTTCAGACCAATAAGCAGTCTTGAGAGAAGTCATCAAAGGAATGTAATTAATGCCACTGAATTATACACTCAATAATGGTTAACGTTTTATGTTACATGTATTTTACTACAACAAAAAAATTTAAACCTTTCCTTAAAACCCTTGCCAAGTCTCTGCTCTGTTCCCTTACCAACAGGTGGTGTCTATGACAAGCATGGACAGAGGGTAGACGTCTCTGAGGTGAGTGATTGCAGCTCCCTGTGAAATGCATGTGGGCACTGAAGCTGTGCTGCACAGCAGCATCTTTGACACAAATGGGAGGCCCTTAGCTCCTGAAATAGTAAAGCTTCTGTTGGCCCCATAATATCAGAAAGCATTATAGAAATGGCCTACGTTTATTTGAGGGGATTCGGGTTTGTGTTTTATTTATTTTTTTATAAAAAGATTTTATTTATTTGTCAGAGAGAGAGAGAACACAAGCAGGGGACAGAGGGAGACGCAGACTCCCTGCTGAGTGAGGAGCCTGATGCAGGGGTCGATCCCAGGACCCTGGGGTCCTGACCTGAGCCGAAGGCAGACGCTTACCTGACTGAGCCACCCAGGCACCCCATGAATTCCTCACATTTTAAATATTCATATTTTATAGCTCAACTCCCATTTGTTGATTAATTCTTTTTTAAAATCTGTATTTTAAAATGAAAATACCTGGGCGCCTGGGTGGCTCAGTTGGTTAAGCGACTGCCTTCAGCTCGGGTCATGATCCTGGAGTCCCGGGATCAAGTCCCGCATCGGGCTCCCTGCTCGGCAGGGAGTCTGCTTCTCCCTCTGACCCTCCTCCCTCTCATGCTCTCTGTCTCTCGTTCTCTCTCTCTCTCTCTCAAATAAATAAATAAAATCTTTAAAAAAAATAAAATGAAAATACCTTTCTTGTTCCTTTCTGTTTAAAAAATAATCTACACTCACTATAAAAAAAAATCCAAACAATACAGAAATACATGAAGAAGAAAGTTAAAACCACTCAATCCCTTGTAGAAAACCAGTGTAAAATTTAGGGGTATACTCTTTCAGATGTTTTTCATGTGTGTATATGCACACACATATACATCAAGATCTGATGATAGACATATGAATGGATAGATGGAAGGGAGGGAGGGAGGAAGGAGAAGAAAGAAAATAAGGAAAGAAAGAAAGAAAAGGAAGGAAAGAGGAAGCATTATAGCATGTATGCTATTTTCAGCTTCCTTTGTATTCACTTGACATATATTGTTGGCTTCTTTCCATGTCAGTAAATTTAGGTCTGCATGATCATTTTGAATGAGTGGCATATCCAGTTGTATTGGTATACCTTAATTTATTTAACCAATCCCCTATTTTTATTCCATTTTCTTTTGCTATTATAAATAGCATTGTGGTAAGCACCCTGGTACATACATTTTTGTCTCTTCTTCTGATAATTATTTCCTTAGAATAAAGTCCTAGAAATGAAATTGGCTGGTCAAAGGGTAGCCACATTTTTAATGAATTTAATATTGCCATATTGCTCTCTAGATAGATTGTATCAATTTATAATTCCACCAAAGTATATGGGAATTATTTTTTTCCCATATCCTTCCTACTTCAGGAACCTCAGTCAATCCTGTGTTCTTTCTTAATATCTGAAACTTATCTTCTTACGTGATTCTTTCCCCTCAACTCAAATTTTCCTTTTCTTTAAAAAAATACTTAATACATCCATACAATGGAATGTTATACAGCAGTAAAAAGACATGAGCTGTCAAGCCACACACACACAAAGAAGAACTTCTTAAAAATATTTTATTTATTTATTTGTGAGAGAGAGAGGGAGTACAAGCGGGTGAAGGGAGAGGGAGAAACAGACTCCCCACTGAGCAGGGAGCCAGATGCAAGGCTGATCCCAGGACCCTGAGATCATGACCTGAGCCGAAGGCAGCTGCTTAACTGACTGAGCCACCCAGGTGCCCCAGGGAAGAACTTTAAATGCATATTGCTAAGTGAAAGAAGCCAATCTGAAAAGGCATATACTGTATGATTCCAACTATATGACATTCTGGAAAAGGCAAAACAGTAAAGACGGTAAAAAGATCAGTGGTTGCTAGGGGTTTGGGAAGAGGTGGAGAGAGAGATGAAGAGTGGAGAACAGGAGATTTTTAGGGCAGTGCAACTATTCTGTGTGATGCTGTCATGGTGGATTCATTACAATATGCATGTTTCAAAACCCATAGAACTGTACAATGCAGACTGAATTCTAATGTAAACTACAGACTTTTGTTCATAATAATGTATCAATATTGGATCCTCAATTATAACAAATGAACTACACTAATGTGAGATGTTTGTTAATAGAAGAAACCAGAGTAGAAAGGAGAGAGAGAGAGCATATGGGGACTTCCTGTACTTCTGCTCAATTTTTCTGTAAACCTAAGACTATTCTAAAAAAAGAGCATTAATTTAAAATAAAATAAAATACATAGTTAGAATAAATAAAATAGTAAAATAACCCTTAGCCCATTAACCAGACGTAACCACTAATAATAAATTTTTATATTTTATTTTTATTTTTATTTTTTTATTTTTTTTTTAAAAGCACTTAGAACCACTCTTGCATTACCCTCTAAGCCATTATCTGTCTCCATCAGTCCAAAATACTGAGTATCAACCATATGTCAGACTTTGAGTAAATGCTAAAGGTTGGAGAAAAACAAGAGAGACATGTTCCCTACCTTCAAAGAGTTGGCAGACATATAAGTAAACAGGCGATTACAGAGGTCTCTAACTCCTCACCTTTCTTTCATTCTTCAGTCTACTCTCTGTAATCAGACTCTGTCCTATCATATCCACGGACACTATCCTAGCCAAGGTCATTAATGACTATTTGCTGTTAAGTCCTGTTAAGTAAACAGGCAATTACAGAGGTCTCTAACTCCTCACCTTTCTTGCATTCTTCAGTCTACTGTAGTAATCAGACTAGTAGTAATCAGACTCTGTCCTATCATATCCACTGAAACTATCCTAGCCAAAGTCATTAATGACTACTTGCTGTTAAGCTTACCCAGCTTCTCTGCAGATTTCAACATGTAAACTCCACTTTTTCTTAAAGTTTTCTTGTCTGTTGGCTTCTTTTAAATAACTCTCTTCTTGTTTTTTCTTCCTGTCTAATTGCTTTTTCTCATCAACTTGGCCATAGGGGCTGATGTTCTTCAAGGCTCTCTTATTGAACCTCTTCCCCATCTGAATAGTCTCCCTGAATAATCTCATGTATTTACATGGCTTTAACTACCACCTACTTACTGATGACCTCCGAATCCATCTATCCAAGGAATCCTTTGTAGCTCCCTCCCACCCATGGCCAAGAATAAAGATATTTTATAAAAACTATCTATATCTATGTCATAGCATCTCAAGGAGTTTCCTCAGTTACCACCTCTACCCTCCATTCTGAATCCCCTTCCTCTCACCTGATATCCCCAGTTTCCATCCTTTTGTCTAGTACCTGGATTTGCCTTTCAACCTTACTTAACTGGTTGTTTGGCTTTCGGTTTCAGAATTTTCCATGAATGCTGCCTCTCAGATAATGCTGTACGGCAGCTCCAAGCCTGCCCTGCCTCACTCCTGTATGCAGCCAGGTCCAATGTTCTCAAACATTACTTGTCTGGAAGGGGAGATTAGAAAATAGCTCAGATCTCTTACTCAAAACTATATATGCCTGCTTTCATTACTACCTGTAAGTCCTTCAAGTATCTCCAATTCAGCCGGTTAAAAACTTCCTCCTGACAGGTATCTTATCTCAGTGAATGATCTTACCATCTATCCAGGGCCCCAGTTAGGAAATATAAAATTATTCTTAACTCTTTCCCTCTGTCACCCCTCATATCATGTATCAATTCTGGCTCCCTATATTTTCTTTTTCTATTTTTTTTTTTAAGATTTTATTTATTTATTTGACAGAGAGAGAGATAGTGAGAGCAGGAACACAAGCAGGGGGAGTGGGAGAGGGAGAAGCAGGCTTCCCGCCGAGCAGGGAGTCCGATGCGGGGCTCGATCCCAGGACCCTGGGATCATGACCTGAGCCGAAGGCAGACGCCTAACCATCTGAGCCACCCAGGCGCCCCCTAGCTCCCTATATTTTCAAACCATTCCCTTAATTTAACATTTATTGTCACTACATCATTTCTCTTGTGAATTACTGAATAGCCTCCTAACTGGTCTCTGTGCTTCTCATCTTGCTAGTTCTAGTATATTCTGCTGCTACCAGAGGACTTTCGCTGACACAAATCTATTTACACATCACTTCCAGCAAAAAAATTGCTATGACTCCCTATTGCATATAAGATGGTAACACAGGGCTCTCTTCCCCTAAGCAGCCTGAGGTGACCTCTGAAAATGGTTCGCTATTCGCTTGACCCAGAAAACCCTACGAAATCATGTAAATCAAGAGGTTCAAATCTTTGTGTTCACTGCCCAGGCCATCAAGTGTATGCATATCCGAAAAGCCACCAAGTATCTGAAAGACGTCACTTTACAGAAGCAGTGTGTACCATTCCGTCGCTACAGTGGTGGAGTTGGTAGGTGTGCCCAGGCCAAACAGTGAGGCTGGACACAGGGTCGGTGGCCCAAGAAGAGTGCTGAATTTTTACTGCACATGCTTAAAAATGCAGAGAGTAATGCTGAACTTAAGGGTTTAGATGTTGATTCTCTGGTCATTGAGCACCTCCAGGTGAACAAAGCCCCCAAGATGCGGCGTAGAATGTACTGGGCTCATGGTCAGATTAACGCATACATGAGCTTCCCTGCCACACTGAGATGACCCTGACTGAAAAAGAGCAGATTGTTCCTAAACCAGAAGAGGAGGTTGCACAGAAGAAAAAGATATCCCAGAAGAAACTGAAGAAACAAAAACTTATGGCCCAGGAGTAAATTCTGCAGAATAAATGCAAATAAAAATAAAAAGAGAATGTTGGTGGCCTTTTATTATTAAACATATTTCAAGTATCTTCGCAAAAAAAAAAAAAAAGATGGTAACGCGGGATCCACCTCATGCCTACCTCTCCAACTTTTCTCTCATCACTCACCAGCTTCCAATTTCAAAGACTGTGTCAGTGTAAGAGCCCAGTTCTAGAAAAGCCTCAGGAGATGCTACATAATGAATTCTCTTAAATTACTGAACCCACAAACTTTCCAGAGCCCACAGTTCTGTGGTTGGCCAGGTCTGGGGCTTGGTTCTGGACCCAACCATACTTCCTCACTGCTATGACAAAACTCCTTCTAGATGGGATATAGAAAAGAGCCAATATAGGGGCACCTGGGTAGCTCAGTCAGTTAAGCATCTGCCTTTGGCTCAGGTCATGATCCCAGCGTCCCAGGATCAAGCCCTGCATTGGGCTCTCCACTCAGCGGGGAGTCTGCTTCTCCCTCTCCTCCTGCTTCTTCTCTCTCTCACTCTCTCTCTCCAGTAAATAAATAAAATCTTAAAAAAAAAAAAAAAAAGAAAAGAGCCAATATAACTCACTACAAACTTACCTTTTCCGGACATAGCACCAACCAGGAGAGTTATGTCTATACTTGACATACTGGCTCCCAGCACACGTAGCACCACAACTACAAAGAGCTGGAGAAATATCCTTGAGAGTTCTGGTATGGATTGGAGAAGTCTGTTATTAACATGACACTCCAGAATGGGGACAATAGAGTCTCAGGGCCAAACTGAGTCATGTTTACCCAAGATGGTCACTAAAAACCTAGCTGAAATGGAGAATGAGAGTCAATATCTGAAGGAGCCAGGAAAATGTTAGTGAATATTAGGTCCATGAAGGTTAGAGGCAGGAAGGAACCAGGTATGCTGACATGTCAAATAAAATGGCCCAAAATTAAGTCTGTGATCAACAGGTATGTACTGAAGCTTCCTTGTTATACAGCCTTGCCTCTATCTTGCAGTATCCCTCTCTAGACATCTGTGGGGTTAAATAGAAGTAGTGCAACACAGTGATATCACTGTACTTAGGGCTCAGTTCCCTTCCCAGCCCCCAAATCAGACAGAGGACGGCCAGAGACAAAATTTTTCCCAGACACCATTTACTATTATGGAGCAATTACCTCCTCATATCCTCAGGTTTGATTACCATAGATTTGGGACTTGGAAGAGTAGAGCCTGAAGATGGCCATTGATAATTCAGGGTAGCTGGGGAAGAAAGGGGGCAAGAAGGGTCTGCCAGCCAGTGCTCAGCTTGTCTCCTGTGGGATAGATCTTTTCTGGCCCAAGTGAATGGATGGTCCAGAGCTACAGAGGCCTTAGAAACCAGCCAGAGTCTCCTCCATTTATCTTGATTTTCTCTTCCCATCATCCTCCTAAGAGTTCTCATCACATTCCAGAAGTTGTCCCCAAATAGACCTTCTGTAAAGTGTCAGGCTGCCACTGAGAAGTTTGTTCTGGTTTATGTGTTCCAGGAAACAGAAAAGGTCGACTTCTCCTACAACAAACTGGCTGATCCTAAGTTTTCATTTTATGACAAGACTTTGGTGGAAGCAGTGAAAAAGGGAGATCGCTGGGTGCACTTGTTTTTCCTCTCACTCTCATTGTGTCATACTGTGATGTCAGAAGAGAAAGTGGAAGGTGAGGAGGGGCCCGAGGACTCATTGACTGAGAATATGTCATAGAATCTAGGATGGCTACAGGTGGGGTTGGTTTGGTATCATTTGTAATGGCTTAATCTAAGAGCTTTCTAATAGGGAGCGTTGTCCAGCAGTGGGATGGATAGGCAAGCATCCTGTGTGATGGATAGTCACTGGAGATACTCAAGTAGAAGACAACCTCTTAGTCTTAAAGAAGATTCAGTCATTGGAAAGGGGTCAAACTTGATGCTATCTAGGGGGCTTCTGATACTGAGATTCAGCAATGTTCGGTCACAGAGTCTATCTGAATTGTCCCCAAGATCAGCCCCATTATCTCTGACAAGACTTCCTGAAGGATGAGTTGAGTTGTCCTCTTGTTGCTTCACAATTTCATGGTATCCCCACATATCCTAGTTTCTTTAGTAACCAAATACGACTGGGACATCCATGAATTTACTTAAACCTCTTTTAGAAACAATGAATGAGAAATGACTGATTAAAAATTAAGAAGGCTTTTGGAGCATTTGGGTGACTCAGTCGGTTGAGCATCTGATTCTTGGTCTCAGCTCTGGTATTGATCTCAAGGTCATGGGTTCAGGCCCCACGTTGGGCTCCACGCTAGGCATGGACCCTACTTTAAAAAAATATTAAAAAAAATATTAAGAAGGTTTTGTTTTTTTTTTTTTGGTAACAAGAGTTTAGGCAACCAAATAAATCATATCCTTTAAAATTAATGTACCTTTGGGCGCCTGGGTGGCTCAGTTGGTTAAGCGACTGCCTTCAGCTCAGGTCATGATCCCAGGGTCCTGGGATCGAGTCCCGCATTGGGCTCCCTGCTCTGCGGGGAGCCTGCTTCTCCCTCTCCCACTCCCCCTGCTTGTGTTCCCTCTCTCGCTGTGTCTCTCTCTGTCAAATAAATAAATAAAATCTTTTAAATAAATAAATAAATAAATAAAATAAAATTAATGTACCTTTAATATAATACTACCCTTAATAGCACCTTGTATTTGTATATCGCTTTACAGTTTTACAAATTGCTTGCATTTATTTTTTTTTTTAAAGATTTTATTTATTCATTTGAGAGAGAATGAGATAGAGAGAGCATGAGAGGGAGGAGGGTCAGAGGGAGAAGCAGACTCCTGCCGAGCAGGGCGCCCGATGCGGGACTCGATCCTGGGACTCCAGGATCATGACCTGAGCCGAAGGCAGTCGCTTAACCAACTGAGCCACCCAGGCGCCAGCATTTATTTTTTTTAAGATTTTTAAAAATTTATCCATTTGAGAGAGTGAGAGCATGAAGAGGGGGGAGGGTCAGAGGAAGAGGGAGAAGCAGACTCCCCGCTGAGCAGGGAGCCAGACGCAGAGCTCCATCCCAAGACCCCAAGATCACAACCTGAGCCAAAGGCAGCCACTTAACTGACTGAGCCACCCACGCACCCCAAATTGCTTACATTTATATCATCTCCCACAATCTTCACAACAGCCCTCTTAAGTAAGCAGAACAAGAAAAATGACCCCAGTTTTATAGAAAGGGAAACTGAAGCTAAACGAGATTAAATGACTTGCCTAAAATCTTACAGTTAAGAAAGCAGAGATAAGAACCCATCTCAGGTCCCCTCCCTCTTCGGGAGCTTTGTATTACTCTCAAACTTTACTTTGCTGCCCACCACACACACAAAAATAATAATAATAATAGTAATAAAAATAATAAAAAGAACCCAAATCTCATGTCTCCTGGTGCCGTGAGATCCTGCACCACCACAGGTGTCTCCAGACCTGACATTCTAACAAGTTGCTATTATTTGAAGCATATTTGGAATTGTCTTTGTTTATTGCCTTAAGTAACAAGGTAGGAAACAAGAAAATAGTCTTACTGTCCCATAGATACAACTTATATCTGACCTAAAATTATATGTCCCATGTGCCTTATTCACAAGTATAAGACTCTGATGATGCGTGACTGTTTTTAAAAATCAAATTCACCTTCAGAAGAGAAATAATCCAAAATATACCTCAGGTTGTGGTGATATTGTAAAAGAGGAGTTATGCATTTTTCAGTGCTACAGTGTTTGCATTCATCAGTGCAGTTTTTGTTCCAGTCTCTTTATGACCAAAATAATTTCAAGCAGTTATTAGAATACAGTAGTTCATGATGAGAAAAAAATAATAGATGTCACAACTGAGGATTGAATTCAAGGTTTTTCTTTTTTTAAGATTTTATTTATTTGAGAGAGAGAGAGCGTGGGCACACAAGCAGGGAGGGGGTAGAGGGAGAGGGAGAAGCAGACTCCACACTGAGCAGGGAGCCCAACGCGGGGCTCAGTCCCAGCACCCTGAGATTATGACCTGACCAAAGGCAGATGCTTAACGGACTGAGCCACCCAGGCACCCCTCAAAGGTTTTTTGGGTTTTTTTTAAAGATTTTATTTATTTGAGAGAGAGAGAGCACATGAGAGGGGGAGGGCCAGAGGGAGAAGCAGACTCCCCGCTGAGCAGGGAGCCCGATGCGGGACTCGATCCTGGGACTCCAGGATCATGACCTGAGCCGAAGGCAGTCGCTTAACCAACTGAGCCACCCAGGCGCCCCCCCTCAAAGGTTTTTGTTGTTAACTTTCTGAAGTGTTTCTTCACAATCTAGGAAAGTATTTTTTCAATAGTGGACCCTGAAAACTATGAGTTAAAATTATTTTATAATGGCAAAATGGAAAAGAATAAATTTTATTTTACTCTGCTGTAAAAAAAATTCAAGAGGAGTTACAGAAATGTCTTGAGTAATATAAGATTGACAGACTGATTCAACAGAGTGAATCATTTAGCTTCCCAGGATGAGAGTTTCAAAGGTGACAATATTCATTTATATATATATTTTTTTAATTGTTTATTAAATCATCAGTCTTATTATCATCAATCCTATTATCCTGTTCTATATGTCCTATCCTTATTGTCCTATCTTATAGGAGTGTTCATCAAAGTATAGCCAGTCTTGGGATGCCTGGGTGGCTCAGTCATTAAGCGTCTGCCTTTGACTCAGGTCATGATCCCAGGGTCCCGGGATTGAGCCCCATATCGGGCTCCCTGCTCAGCGGGAAGCCTGCTTCTCCCTCTCCCACTCCCCCTGCTTGTGTTCCTTCTCTTGCTCTGTCTCTCTCTGTCAAATAAATAAATAAAATCTTAAAAATAAAAAAAAAAAGTATAGCCCATCTTATATAGGAGCAGTTTACCCAGAACAACCTGCATGAAACTCACCCAGGAGATTTGTTAAAAATTCAATTTCCTGAGCCCTCCTCCAGTATTTTGTGATTCTGGATTCAGTAAGTTTGAGTGGGGCCCAGGAACCTGCATTTTTAACAAGCCTTCTGACCCATCTTTACCCACCAAAATCAGAGAGTGAACTATGTTTTGTTCATTTGTGTATATTGCCTGTACCATGTGCCTCTACAATACTAACTCAAGTCTGTGAAATAAGTTGGAAATATTGGAAAGGAAAAAAAAAACTGACCCGTATGCAACCTAGCTTTTTAGAGCCAAACTTGTGAGGAAGTTTGAAGAAAAATGTTCCCTCTTGGGCTTTATCTTCACATAAGCCCGGTTGACTTCAGCTGCACATCTCTGTGTGCTCCTCTCTCCTGCCAGGTAAGCTGATGTACCAGGCTCAGTCCCCGGATGAAGGTGCCCTCGTCACTGCTGCCAGGAACTTCGGCTTTGTGTTCCGATCCCGCACATCTGAGACGATCGTGGTAGTTGAAATGGGTGAGACCAAAGTCTACCAACTGCTGGCTATTTTGGACTTCAACAATGTACGCAAGAGGATGTCTGTTATTGGTAGGTGCCCCTCTTAGTCAGTCCTCTCCCCTTATTTGTCTTTCATACACATTCACACATTGACTTTCTCTTTTATCTACACACAAATGCTTTCTCCCACTCACATGCCTTCTCAAAGGTATCGTACCTCAAATACAATACATAGCCATTCCTACTTTCTCCCTCACATACCCTATATATTTTCTCTTTGGGAGCTTGCTACCATATACTTCTTTAGTGTTCCTGGATAGTGGCTTGTCTGAACCCCCAGAGCCAAGATAAGAACAGAGAATAAACCCATAAAGCCTGAACCTGGAGTAAGAGATAGGGGCAGACAATTAAGGGAAATTCATACTATCTTATTCTCAATTAGTTTGAGCCTCAGACTGAAGAGGAAGAAGGTCATTCTTCATTCTTGGTCCTTACTAGGTATGGGCCTTGGTCTGGAACTTGGACTTGGGGAGCTAAATGTGATTCCGCATCAGAGTCTTCCAAGATGAGATTGAACCCATGGAAGAACTGGTTGCATAAGGTCTCCTCCCACTTCCACCAGCATTTACTAACTGCATCATTTATCCTCTGTGACCACTCAATGAGTGCTTTGCCCCCAAGAGCATCGGAAACAAATGTCACGGGAACAGCCTCATGCCATCCCTCAGTGGCCCAGACAAGTTCTTGTAACAATGCGCCTATATGGTTACTCTGCCCAATTTGTTTATCCTTAGTGAGGACACCTGAAGATCGAGTAATGTTATTCTGCAAGGGTGCAGACACCGTCCTCTGTCGGCGGCTCCATCCGTCCTGTACATCCCTCAGAGATGTGACCATGGAACATTTAGATGTAAGTGTATAGGTTGCAGGGCAGGGAAGCTGTGGGTGGTCTTTGTACACGGATTAGGATCCACACATATGTCTTTGTGTCCTTGTGTTTCTGTATGGGTGTATATTAGTGTCTGTGTCTCTTTAATTGATGGAAGAATAGAAACTACCTCATTGTGTGGCATTCCTACTGACTGCATTGCCAACCTCTGTGGCAAGAAGCTAGATGGCAAAGGATCCCAAAAGCATAATGAGGGTTGTGTCTGTGGGAGCCTTACCCCAATCAAAATGGTTCTCTCTGTGATTCCTGGCTCAGGAGGTCCCATGGTCAGACCTAGAATTTGCTTCAGAATTGGGCCTGCTGGTATGGGAGGCGCTACTTCACCAGCCATGATGCGACCGTGCAGCTTTGAAGGTATGGAGGAGAAAGCACCAGGCTTGGGATCTTTATGAGACTGTTGTATGTTACCATCCTCTGTTATCACAAGATTAGAATCCCCAGGGGTACCTTCCTCCCTGCCTACCCACCCTACTTCTACCCTCTAGGATTTGAGATGGATCTGAAAGAGAATGGATCCAGCCTTCTGGCGTTGAAAAGGAAAACCAAATCTATGCTCCCCAGGATTTCTACTCATAAACCTAGATATATAAAGGGTTGAGGGAGGGCGCCTGGGTGGCTCAGTTGGTTAAGCGACTGCCTTCGGCTCAGGTCATGATCCTGGAGTCCCGGGATCGAGTCCCGCATTGGGCTCCCTGCTCGGCAGGGAGTCTGCTTCTCCCTCTGACCCTCCTCCCTCTCATGCTCTCTGTCTCTCATTCTCTCTGTCTCAAATAAATAAATAAAATCTTTAAAAAAAAAAGGGGGGGGGTTGAGGGAATAGGACAGAAGATGGCATGGGAGAGGGGCAGATCAGAAAAAAATATTTTAAAGAAGAAATAGGTTGGAGAAAATGCTATTTTATTAAGCCATTTTGGTTTGACCCACATTAACACATAATCACGTCAGAGAACAGATAGTCAATAAGCACATGAAAAGATATTCAGTTTCATTAGCTTTTAGGAAAATGCAAATCAAAACTTCAAGATATCTTTAAAAAAAAAAAAAAAAAAAAGGGCGCCTGGGTGGCTCAGTTGGTTAAGTGACTGCCTTCGGCTCAGGTCATGATCCTGGAGTCCCGGGATCGAGTCCCGCATCGGGCTCCCTGCTCGGCGGGGAGTCTGCTTCTCCCTCTGACCCTCTTCCCTCTCGTGCTCTCTGTCTCTCATTCTCTCTCTCTCAAATAAATAAATAAAATCTTTAAAAAAAAAAAAAAAAACTTCAAGATACTACTTCACACCACCAGGATAGCTAGGTGATCAGATAATAATAAGTAATGGCAAAGGTATAGAGAAATTGTAACCTTCATACATTGCTGATAGAAATGTAAAATGATGCAGTCAGTCTAAGGGATTGAGCCACCCAGGCACCCCCTGATGCAGTCATTTTAGAAAACAGTCTGGCAGTTCCTGAAAAAGTTAAGTGTAGAGCTATCATATGACCCAGCAATTCCACTCCTAGGTATATTCCCAAGAGAAATGAAAATATACATCTTCACAAAAACTTGTACACAAATGTTTATAGCAGCATTATCTATAATAGTGAAAAAGTAGCAACAACCCAAATGCCCATCAAGAATGGCACAGATGAATAGATAAATAAAGTGTGGTATATCTAAACAACAAATATTATTCAGTCCCAAAAAGGAATGACATACTGATACATGCAGATGAGCCTTGAAAACATTATGTTAAGGGAAAGAAGCCAGTCACAAAAGGCCACATATTGTATAATTTCATTTATGTGAAATATCCAGAATAAGCAAATCAGTAGAAACAAGTAGGTTAGTGGTTGCCAAGGGCTAGGGGAAAAGAGAATGGGAATGACTGCTAATGGGTACAGGGTTTCCTTTGGGAGTGATGAAAATGTTCTGGAATTAGTAGTGATGGATGCACAACTTTAAGAGTATAATTTTTTTAACCGCTGATTTGTATACTGTAAAAGTGTGAATTTTATGATCTATACATTATATTTCAGGTTTTCAAAAAACAATCCGTGAAGTATCCCACACAGGACAGTTCTTATGTCCTATAGTGTTTCCCAGAGGCCACGGTATTTTTTATGGGCTAGTCTGAAAAACTTATCTTTTTTTTTTTAAGATTTTATTTATTTATTTGACAGAGAGAGACACAGCGAGAGAGGGAACACAAGCAGGGGGAGTGGGAGAGGGAGAAGCAGGCTTCCCGCCGAGCAGGGAGCCCGATGCGGGGCTTGATCCCAGGACCCTGGGATCATGACCTGAGCCGAAGGCAGAGGCTTAACGACTGAGCCACCTAGGCGCCCCTGAAAAACTTACCTTTTAACCTTCCAGAACACATGAATTAGGGTATCTTCTCAGAGAGCATTTCCACGGGCTGGCTCCAAAGGGGTCATAAAATTGTTTCAGATCTTTTGACCTGTGTCCTGCTACCCACCTTAACAGACACCCATAATAAAGCCTGACTACACTACAGTCTGTTAACCACAGATGATAAACTTGTAAGAGTGAAGCTCACACTCAGGAGTCAAGATTCAAAAACTCTTACAAAAGCACAGCTCCAGGGGCACCTGGGTGGCTGATTGTTAAGTGTCTGTCTTCGGCTCAGGTCATGATCCGGGGTCCTGGGATCAAGCCCTGCATCAGGCTCCCCGCTCGGTGAGCCTGCTTCTCCCTCTCCCACTCTCCCTGCTTGTGTTCCCGCTCTCACTGTGTCTCTCTCTGTCAAAAAAAAAAAAAAAAAAAAAGCACAGCTCCAGGCCCTCTCAGACAGGAATCAGCAAACAGGTCATATAAAAACAAGCAGCAGTCAGGATTTGCTCACCACAATAGAAAAGAAAAAAACGCAAGTAAGGGGTAAGTAAGAAATAACTTCAACCACAGACTGCTAAATTATTTGTTGAATGAATTAAGAATCTGTCAGTGTGTTAAACCTTGTTTAATATCCTATGCAAGATCAGTTTCTGTCATATCTCTTCCTTCTAAGAAGTCTCTGAGATCTTCTCTCAGGCTTCTTTTCATAGCTTCATCTGCTAACAGTACAGAGTTTTAAGAGATGGCATTCCATACATATATTGTTTTATGTTCATTTCACCTGACAACTAATGTCAAACACTGAGGAGTTTCACAGGGAACTAAGAGCAGAATATCAGGATGATAAAATTCTTTTTCTCTTTGCTCTTAAAATGCCAAAGTGAATTATTTTGAAGCTTACTATAACAGTGATCATGTAGAATATTTATTCATGTGCAGTTCTCAGGACATAAAATCTTCTAACTCACCCTCAGTTGGATATGAGTTCTGCCCTAAACTACCCACACTCTCACCCAGCTCTCCTTACGACCAAGAGGATACTTTACAAGATAGTTAACTGTGGTTAGTTGGGATATACTGGTGGTCACAGAGCAAAAAGATGCTAGCTCACCCAGAGAGCATTTCCGCAGTGCCTCACTAACACAGTTGGCTGTGGCTAATCAACTGAGCCAATCAGCTGTAGACAAATATACACGTGTGTGTGCTTTTGAGGGGCCTGTTGGATGCTTGAAGGAAGGTAGGGAAAGAGGAAAATAAAATGAATATATGGGGCGCCTGGGTGGCTCAGTCAGTTAAGTGTCTGCCTTCGGCTCTGGTCATGATCCCAGGGTCCTGGTCAGGCTCCCTGTTCAGCGGGGGAGCCTGCTTCTCCCTCTCCTGCTCCCCCTGCTTGTGTTCCTGCTCTTGCTATCTCTCTCTCTATCAAACAAATAAATAAGATCTTTTTTTAAACATGAATGTATGCTTGTAGAAAATAGTAAGTCCTTTGATTATGTTTTATAACAACTCCTTTTTACTTTAGTATTCCATTCTCATATTACAGACATCATTATCCTCTCTGTAAGCAGTGAATTATTATCCCAATTTTACAACAAAGAAATCTAGAAGCCTTAATTTTTCCCAGGGTCACACAGCAAATTATCTAACTACAGGTAAAAGCTAGAACTTTCTATATTTCAGAAGTACTTTCAAACTTTGCCCTCAGCTATGCTGGCCCCACCTTTAGTACATTTTGCTGAGAAAGCTCGATGGTTGTTTTGTGGTTAAGCTAGGTACTAGCCCCATGGTACTAATCATTAAATCCTATTTTGCAGGCAAATGGGTCGGTGGGGTCAGTCTGCCCCTTCCTAAACTCAGCCCTCACCCAGCCCAGGCCTACTCAGTGTACACACATGTCTTCCAGGATTTTGCTGTTGAAGGCCTCCGCACCCTCATGGTGGCCTACCGAGAACTGGATAATGCATTCTACCAGGCCTGGAGCAAGAAGCACAGTGAAGCCTGCCTGTCTTTGGAAAATCGGGAAGATAAAATGTCAGATGTCTATGAAGAGATAGAAAAAGACTTGATGGTTAGTGTGAGGAAGCCAGGAACAGACTGGGGGCAGGATTGGGGGTTGCAGTCAGCAGACTGAGCAAGGTCTCTGAAAGTGGCTTCCAGCAAATCAATAGGTTCAGGCTCTCCGGATACAGGATACTGGAATCCAAGCTGATTCAGGATGTCCTGGATCTTTGAAATCCATAAATCATGGGGGGGGGGGGGAATGCACTAGTTATAAATTTTATCCCAAAGCTCTCACAGAAGCTAAGTAATCTGGGAAAAATGAGGATCTGAATAATACACAGATTAGATAATCCAGAACTAATTGATGGAAATATTCACTCATTTATTCAACATATTTATTAAGTGCCTTCTATGTGCCAGGCATGTATTAAGCCCTGAGCATGTAGCAGCAGACAAAATAGACAAAAAAGTAACATATATAGTATGTTAGATAATGAAAGTGCTATGGGAGAAAATACAGCCAGGGAGAAAGCTAAGGAGTTACCAGCATATGCATGAATGTTTTGGAGAGGCCAGAGTATAGTTACTATTTTATATAGGGTACTTAGTCTTCACTTAGTCTGAGCAGAAACCTGAAGAAGGTGGCAAGCCAAACAGATCTCTGGGGAATTAACTTTCCAGACAGAGGGAATGGCATGAGTGGAAGCCCTGAAACAGGAGTAGGCCTAACTTGTTAGTTGAACAGCAAGTCAACTAGTGTGGCTGATACAGTGTAAGTGAGGAGGAGAGAATAAAAGGACATGAGACAGAGAAGTAGTAGAGTGCCCTCATAAGCCAGTATAAGTACTTACAATGAGATATGGAAAGCCATTGAAGAATTCAACCAAAGAAGTGATGTGATAGCTCTTTTAAAAAAGACTTACTTGTTTGTTTGTTTATTATTTATTTATTTGAGAGAGAGAGAGAGTGCGAGTAGGGGAGGAGCAGAGGGAGAAGGACAAGCAGACTCTGCTCTGAGTGCAAAGCCAGATGTGGGGCTCGATCCCAGGACCCTGTGATCACGACCTGAGCCAAAATCAAGAGTCAGACGCCCAACTGACTGGGCCACCCAGGCACCCTGATGTGATGGCTTTTAAAACAATCACTTTGGCTGCTGTGTTGAGATTATACTATAGGGGAGCAAGGACAGACCCAGGGAGACAAATTAGAAGATAGTTGTAATAGTGCAGGTGAGACATGATGATGGCTTGGACCAGATAGAAGTAGTGGAAGTGGTGAGGAGTCGTCAAATTCTGTACATTTTTTAAAGGTAGAGCCAACAGAATTTGCTAATATATTAGATTATAGGATATGAGAGAAAGAGAAGTTAAGAATGACCCCAAAGTTTTTGATCAGACTGACACAGGCTGGCTCTGCTATTAAAAGAGACATTGCTGATACCAAATGGGAAAACAGAGATTCCAAAGGTCACACATGTCCTTCCATCATCAGTTCTGTGGTTAGTATTTCTAGTCTGTCCTTCTGGAGGCCTAGCAGAAATCAGCCAATTGTTTGTCCATCTGTCAGTTCCTCAGACTGAGTCCTGGTGCCCATCCCTATGGTCAGCACTGGAAAGCCAGGAAGTGTGCTGTGAAGCAAAAGAGCAGTGAAAGTATGTTGAGAAACAGATGGTTTAGAAGTGGCACACAGCTTCATGTATGACTTGGGCAAGTCTTTTCCCTCTTTGATCCCTAACATTCTGTGTCTAAATTTGATTTATGTGGTTGAAAACCTGCATCTGTTGAGAGGCAGAGGGTGCTGAATTTTATACCATTTGGATCCTCATGTCAGGACAGAGCCAGCTTGCTAAAGAGGATGATGAGGTGCCCATTGAGTTGCTGGGTAGCACTAAATGCTGTGACATTCCCCTGTTCCTCACTCACTGCTCTCTCTGTTCAAAGCTGTTAGGGGCCACAGCCATAGAAGACAAGCTGCAGGATGGTGTACCTGAGACAATCACCACCCTGAACAAAGCCAAAATTAAGATGTGGGTCTTAACTGGAGATAAGCAAGGTAAGGGGGAGCTCCTCACTTGACCAGTCCTCTTCTCTGTCCACCTTAGCCATTTCTTTTATTTTGCATCTTCTTTTTTCCTTAGCCATTTATTTGACAAATACCTTATAATCCAGGTCAAGTCCTTACAGGACACCTTCACTCCTAGTCTTGTACACAGTTTTCTAAGAGTATACTTTATGCTGGATTCTGTATTAGGCAGTGGGGACACAGAGATGATTCAATCAGACATGACCCCTGTCATCCAGGAACCCACAAGTTAAAAACTTTGGAATTACCTTTGACTATACCCTCTCTGTTGTCCCAAAGATTCATATCTCACCATGTCCCACCAAGTCTTCTGAAGATGCCCTTGACTATGCCACCACCCTAGTTCAACCTTTGTCCCGTTGATTGTACTTCTGCAAAAAACTTCTGATCGCTGTCTCTTGTCCTTATTGATTTCCGTATAGCCTACTTACAACCATCAGCTTAATCTTACTAAAATATACTACTTTTATATGTTATTCCTCTGCTCAGAAACCTTCAGACACTTTATGTGGTAAAGTCAGACTCCACTGTCTGAGTTCTTGATAATCTGTTGCTACCTACATATGTGACCGTTATCTTTAGTGTCCCAAACAATCCAGTTCCTACTCTAGGGCCTCTGTTTGGGTTGTTTACCCCTTTGAAATGTTTTTGCCTTCCCCTAAACGAGTCTTACTCATCCTTCAGAGTCTTCTCCCAAGAAAGTTTCTATGACTTTCTATGCAATCTCTCCTCTGAATTTTGGTACCACTTGCAGTGAGGGTTCAGGATTTAATTTTTGTAAATTTTTTTCCTTAGTATGAATTCAGTCCAAATTCTAGAGTTCTTGATGTAAAGAAAAGACCATAACCAAAACATATCCCAGTCCCCCATAAAATCTGGCATAAAAGCAGGCACAGGGAAATACATGCTGACTGTTTGGAGAAGTGGATACAGAGTGGAGTTGTTTTAGGAAATAGGGGAAGGCCCTGTTGGAAGGCTACAGCAGAATGGTGCGGGCTTCAGCGGCACATATACTAAAATTGGAATGATACGCAGAAGGTTAGCATGGCCCCTGCACAAGGATGCCATGCAAATTCGTGAAGTGTTCCATGTTAAAAAATGAAAGAAAAAAAAGACGAAGCCAGAATGATCCTAGTTATTGATAAGTAACTCACAAGTCTGTACTAGGCTGACCGTTCCTGTGTGTTTGAATATGGTCTCCACTGACTCATGAAAAACATACTTTGACTGCATCCATGGCCAGTGTGGACAAATGGGCTCTGCCGCCCACCCTTAGTGCCTATGTATGTATACACTTTTGTAAAGACCCTGTCCCAGCCAAAATGTGGCCAGTGTTCCCCCTTCCCTGCAGAGACTGCTGTAAACATTGCCTATGCCTGCAACATATTTGAGGATGAAATGGATGGGATGTTCATCGTGGAAGGCAAGAATGATGAGACTGTTCGGCAAGAACTCAGGTACAGATGGGAGAACTGCCACAGCTCTTCATTTAGTATGACCCCCACACTGTCAGAAGGAACAAAGAAGACATGCAGAAGGGGAAAACAAAAAAACCTAAAATATTTGAGATAATTTTGTGAAGAATCTTTAGGGCTCAAGGAGTTGGAGAAGTGTGGTGTGTGGACGGTCAGGGACCTGAGACAATGGCATTTCTCAGGAGGCAGCCGAGTTTGAGATGCTGGCTGGGGCTTTGTAGAGGCTCTGTGTCTACCTTGCCCACTTTCATTCTGGGACATTTTTACTTTCCTAAGCTCTGGGGCTTTCAGTCAGACATTAACTACTACTCTTGGCTTTCAGGTCAGCAAGGGTCAAGATGAAACCTGAGTCTCTACTGGAATCAGACCCAGTAAACATTTACCTCACCACGAAGCCCCATATGCCCTTCAGAGTGCCTGAGGAGGTGCCCAATGGCAACTATGGCTTGATCATCAATGGCTACAGTCTGGTGGGCAACACAGAGCTATAACTCTATTCTTTTCTCCCAAGGAATTTTTTTCCTAGGTCCAGCCCGCTTCAGGGAAATTTTAAGACCCCTTGTCTATTTCATGAGTCACCTTTTTCCCCTCTCTTCTGGTGCCCTTTCCTGACAGACACTTCTCCCTACCTTTCTCTAGGCAGGAATAACGAGGAAAGAGAAGCCAAGGGCATGTTCCTTCCTTATCCAAATTCTTCACTACTGATGTGGCCTATCAGTTAGGGGAAGAGGGAAAGCAAACAGAACCAGGTCCTCTAAAAAGTCACTTGGCGTTATAGCCCAGTTAACTTATTTGACCCAGTGAGAGAGGCTGACCAGTTTCCCATTGGAGGCTGGATCAGATATGAGGATGCCTAGCACAGACTTGGGGACTTAGCCTCCCTTGGGAGTGGAGCACCTGGGAGCCACTGCCTGACCTATATAGTACAGGAGAGTATGGATATGGGGAAGGGCCTAGGAAGATCCTGTCCTGAGAGCCTTTTTGGGCAACCTGAAATGTGGGTGTGTCCTGGTACTGCAGGCCTATGCTCTAGAAGGGAACCTGGAGTTGGAACTGCTGCGAACAGCGTGCATGTGCAAGGGGGTAATCTGCTGCCGAATGACACCCCTTCAGAAGGCCCAAGTGGTAGAGCTGGTGAAGAGGTACAAGAAGGTGGTGACACTGGCCATCGGGGATGGGGCCAATGACGTCAGCATGATCAAAGGCATGTGAGGGATGGGGGACAGTAACCTCCAACCAAAGGCTTGCCCTTCCTCCATGGGCAAAAACCAACCTGGGTGGCACTGTGTTGGTGGTTCACACTCCTGCATATCATATGTATTGTACATTTATAATGTTTTACAACCTCATTCATGCTCCTCTATACCTGCATTCCCACTTATTTACACCTGTATACATCAGTCCCTATGCAGACACACAATTCAACTTCATGCACTTAACACACACACACACAAATATGCCTTATTCTTATGGGAATAAGAACATATGCATATATTCACAGAACAGGCCATGCAACTACCATACCATCTTTCCAAGATGGTATCAAAGCCTACATAAAAAACCCCTGGGCAAGAGTCATAGTCTGTTCCTTTTTTGAAGACTGTATGCCTGAGCAATGTTAGGCAGAAGACAGGACTGCTCAACCAGGGAATTAGCTGTGAGGCACAATGTAAGGATCTCTTCTCCCCTGAGGCAGTGTTCATGAGAACTTGCCCTGACTCCCCTGGAGGAGAATAGCCGACTTACTAATGCTTTGGGCCAATAGAAGCAAATGGCTGAAACTAGTTTTAATTTCAGCTGAATGTTGTTAGCTTCCAGCAGCTTGTGGTTCTATGAAATATGGACAACATCTAGAGGTCCTGTAGTCCAACCTCTCTCCCCATCCAGGAAACACTAGCAGACATTCTACCCTCGGCTTTAATAGTAGAAAGTGTTCTTGCTCTTTTCCTCACTTTCTAGAACTTCTCTGGTTTTTAGGGCCTTAGAGGTTTCAACTATTCCATTAAGCATTGCAATAGGTATATACCAGAAGATCAATGGATTTACCGTATACTACAACAGACTAATTAAAACATTTAGGAACTTCGGTCTTACTTTCCATCAAGTATAATCCTTGTTTTATCCAGAAAAAGTCAGGTTAGGCCTCTTGAAGAACTTGCTTCTCACTAACAAAGTATGTGCATCACTTATTTCCTCCTAACAGTTGGATTTTAGCTCTTTAGATGAACTTCGGTAATTAAATATTATGTTAGATTGACATCCATCCTGCATCTTTAATTGATGTAAGTGACTTCAAAAGATAACAAGAAATTTTTACCTCAGCATCTAGAGAGCAGGGAAGAGCCTAGATGGCTCTAGCAGGTACAAAGACCATCCAGGATAGCCTTCTAGTCCTAGCCGTGACAGGCATTCCAGAGTGGCAGCATCCAAAAAACAGTGCAGATGAAGGAGCTGTTTTCTGACAATCTGCTAAGGAAAAGGGCAATCCACTAAAGAGAAAAGGCTCCACTAAGTGTATGCCATTTTGAGCTGGGCAGTGTTTCCCAATGTAAACTAAGGGGTTTGTATAGCATGATCTCAGCCTTTCTTTGACACTTCCCAGGCTGGGAGCCCAGCAGACAAGCTCTGTGGTTGAGAAGCTTCTGGGATTTCTTTGCAGCTGCCCACATTGGGGTTGGCATCAGCGGCCAGGAGGGAATGCAGGCCATGCTCAACAGTGACTACGCCTTCTCCCAGTTCCACTATCTTCAGCGTCTACTCTTGGTCCATGGCCGCTGGTCCTATAATCGCATGTGCAAGTTTCTCAGCTACTTCTTTTACAAAAACTTTGCCTTCACCCTGGTGCACTTCTGGTATGCCTTCTTCAGTGGGTTCTCTGCACAGGTAGGAGATCAGGTGGTATTCCGCACTCTGGTCAGCTGGGTCTTCTTTACTCACCCCCACTTCAGCCATCTCAGACCCTTTTTCTTTTCTAGAGACCAGTGTATGACATATTGCCATCCATCCATAAAGCTCCTCACATGGGGCCACCTGGGTTGCTCAGTCGGTTAAGCATAAAGGTCCTCACCCATGCTGATCCCATCTCCTAACCTTACATTTAACCTTAGATTTCCAAACCCTAACTTTTCTGCCTTGGCTCTGACTTGAACTTGATTCCTACCTCCAAAACTCTCCCATAAGATATTTTCACTTTTTACCTGACATGGAGACCTAGTTTCCAAACATAAATAATATGGGGAAATGCTTGGACCTGGGAGGTTTTTTTAGCATCCAAAACAATTTTTATGGAGCAGGCTAAGCCTCAAGGGGCCTCTGAGTTTTGCCAGACAGGCTAGCTATGGTGTTTACCTGTAGCCATACTTCAGACACAGTTTCCCTTACTTCTACTTCCCCACCCCAACACCCCTTCTCCCTGCCCAAACATACACTGTTGTTGCTCTAATGAATTAATTCCACATTTGAGTATGAAATCTCCCCGACAGTAGCGGGAAGAAGTGGCACCTGGATTTTGATGTTCTACGAGGAATCCCTTTTCCTATGAGAAGTTTTTCAGGGTTCTCAGATTCCCAAGAAAAACAACCTCAGGAATGATTATATTGGGAAATACCTACTACTTTTGTTGCCTTGGGCTCTGGGGGAAACAGACTGTTCAGTGGAAAGTAGTAGACTTATATACCCCCAGTGTGTTAACAAAGCCATTTTAGTTTGTGAGAGGTGTATGCATATGTGTGTGTTTTGCTGACCCCTTGTGGCTAGTAAAGGAGCCCTCTGTGGGCCCCAGGATGGAGCACCCAGCTAGGAAAGGGTCATTGAGTCTATTCTACTTACCAATGTTAGAAAATGTCCAGTGTTATAGAAGCTACTGAATGCCATAAATCCCAGATAAAAGAACCCAGAGGCTTACACGCCTGAGAGTGCAGGGGTACAGCTAGCATTCCCTAGCAGGCACTCTGGATCTTTTCTGTGCAAGGATGGGCAGTGCAGGTCATGGTAGGGTTGGTCCAAATCAACCTTGTAGGGTTGGCCACAAACAAGCTTGATGTGGCCTTGCCCCAGCCTGGGACCCAGGGTTCTAACTAGAGTAGGACCAAATAGAGATGGGGGTCAGCCTTCTCTGTCAGATTTCTGAAATCCAAATCCTGCCCTAGGTTAGTGTAGTGATGGGTAGGTGGGGGCCAGAAGGGCCTCTCTTGAACCTGGGAGGTAGAGCTGGGACTTTAGAAAAGAGAGGAATCTAAGAAATCTCCTTGGTATTCTCCTAGACTGTTTATGATACCTGGTTTATCACTTTCTACAACCTGGTCTACACCTCCCTCCCTGTCCTGGGCTTGAGTCTGTTTGACCAGGTAAGACCAGCAGCAAGCCTCTTAGTCAGGGCTAAAGCCCCTGGGCCCTTGAGGAGTATTCCCAAGAGTGGGGAGGACAAGACCTGAGTTCTACTAAGTCAGTTGTAAATGGAATAATGTCTAGAACAAGGAAGGGAGCTCATCACCTGGAGAGGTATCATGGATAAAGTAAAGAATCTTCCTCTACAGAGAATAATCATCAGTTTTAGAAATCCAAGTTTTCCTGTGTCAATTTTATTTTTGTAGAGAGAAACATAGAAATTGTGCTTTATAGTAAATTGAATGTGTATAAAAGGTAAAAGGAAAGGAAATAGAGTTATTGGAGAAAGACCAGGTAAAGCAAGGCGCTTCAAGAAAGGAGAGACCCATACAGAGATAATAATCCAATGCAGGGTGGCCTCGTTGAGAGTCCTGAATGCCAAGCATGAGAATGTGGGTATAATATTTTGAGTCATAGGAGGTCAGCCTATGGGATATCATCTGTCCCTGTCAGAAATTTCCTGGGCATTGGGGATCCTAGTACCATACCTCTCCCTCCTCTTCTATCCCAACCTCTAGTCTTGGGGACAATAAATAGAAAAGCAGCTGAAAGAGGACATCATGGGATCATGGTTCCTGGTCTCCATCAGGGTAGGAAGTAAAATTCTCCACAAGGTAGCTGCTAGCCACAGAGCAACAAGAGAGATGAGTTGTGTCCTATGAAGCTTCAACGGGCTAATTCTAGGGATCCACAACCTCTCAAAAACAAGCCCCAAGCTTTGTTATCCAAAGTTTCAGATTTAGGAGATGAAGATGATCCAGTGGCACTCACATAGAGAATCCTGTCACCTGAGTTCACCGGTAGCTATGGGAATGGGAAGAGCATCACAGAACATGGAAACCTCCATGTGACTAGCTGGTCCCCATTGGCTTCCCCCTCTCCTTTTATTGGCTTTTGACACAAAAAAATATTCAACTAAAGGAACACTTAAAACTGGGGACTCATGTACCAACTGCCCCCCATCCCAAGCTCCCATCCTCCCTTCCAGCTACCTCCAACCCTAATTACCCCCCATCTCCCCTATCCTAACTGCTTCCAGGTCCTTACCATCACCTTGACCTTCTCCTAGCTTTCTTCCACTACCTAGATCCCTTGCCTAGAGTATAGGACTTCAGGAAGGGTCTGTGGTCAGTGCTCTGTTCTCTGGTTCTACTTCTCAAGTAATCCATGAGGAAGCTCCTAGGCAGCCTGTCAGCAGATACAGTGAGGAGAGAAACTTCTACTCTGATGGAGATGGGACCTTCTATGGAGAGACCCTGAGCCTTCCTCCTTACCCTCTGGTACTTCCAGGATGTGAATGAAACATGGAGTCTACGCTTCCCAGAGCTGTATGATCCAGGCCAGCACAACCTCTATTTCAACAAGAAGGAATTTGTGAAGTGTTTAGTGCGTGGGATCTATAGTTCCTTCGTGCTGTTCTTTATCCCTATGAGGACCGTTCACAACTCAGTGCGCAGTGATGGGAAAGAGATCTCCGACTACCAGTCCTTCTCCCTGATAGTTCAGACTGCCTTGCTGTGCGTGGTCACAACGCAGGTGTGGCTGGGGGTGCGGGGGGAGGGGTTGGGGGGGAGGGTTGGGTGGGGAGCCTGTCTGGAAGAAAGGGAAAGAAGGTGGGAGAGAAAGTGGGAAGGGATCATTCTCCACTGCGGACTGGAGAAGGGAGGTGGCTGATATGTCCGAGGTTGTAGAGTATTGCACATAAAAGAGTGCTTTTCAGATTGCCCTGGATACAACCTACTGGACGGTGATAAGCCACATCTTCACCTGGGGTAGCCTGGGTTTCTACTTTTGCATCTTAATCTTCCTGTACAGTGATGGCTTGTGCCTAACGTTCCCCAACGTCTTCCAATTCCTAGGTAAGGCTATGCCCACCCAGTGTGTGGCAAGGAGGTGGGGATAGGGTTGGGAAGTGTGAACCAAGTACATTTGTTTAATAAATGTTCACTAAGCAGTTATTACTATGTACTAGGCTCTGTGAATATAGATAGGAATAAGACATGGTCTCTGCCCTAAAAGGACTCAAAATCTAACTAGGGGGGCGCCTGGGTGGCTCAGCTGGTTAAGCGACTGCCTTCGGCTCAGGTCATGATCCTGGAGTCCCTGGATCGAGTCCCGCATCGGGCTTCCTGCTCGGCAGGGAGTCTCCTTCTCCCTCTGACCCTCCCCTCTCTCATGTGCTCTCCCTCATTCTCTCTCAAATAAATAAATAAAATCTTTAAAAAAATAAAAATTAAAATAAAAATTAAAAAATCTAGCTCTCCTGGTTCCCAGTCTAGTATCCTTTCTACTGTGGCATACTGCCTTATTGTCTCCCATATTAATTTCCCTACCTTTCATTCTACTTTGATGGGAACAAAATACAGAGAGGATAGATAATAGATGTAGCTGCCTCTCACCTCTCATCAAGTCACTCATTTTTCCCCTCCAAAACCCTGTATCCCATTTTTGTGTCCAGGCCAATGTTCCAGGATTCCTATAACCTACCCACACTCTCCTGCCCAGCCCAGCCTTTAAAGGCATGTGAATTCCCTGTGACTTTAGCGGTACAAAGGACCTCACTGTAATTCTTCCGCATTTTTTTTTTTTTTAAGATTTGATTTATTCATTTGAGACACAGAAATAGAGAGAGAGCATAAGCAGGGGGCAAGACAAGGGAGAGGGAGAAGCAGGCTCCCCACTGATCCAGGAGCCCAATGTGGGGCTCGATCCCAGGACCCTGGGATCAGGACCTGAGCCAAAGGCAGACGCTCAACCACCTGAGCCACCCAGGTGCCCCTGCATTTATATTATTAGGAAACTTAATGGTCTCCAAACCAATAATTTCCTTCTTTGGAATGGAGAGGTATCTAAGTTCTAGATGACTGTCCCCTTCCTCTAGGCTCTGGTTCAGCCGCCCTCTCCCACCTCATTGTTTACAGGTGTGGCCAGAAACACTCTGAACCTGCCACAAATGTGGCTGATTATTATCCTCAGCGTGGTCCTCTGTATTTTGCCTGTGATTGGGTACCAATTTCTCAAGCCACTATTCTGGCCTGTCAACGTGGACAAGGTGAGTGGAACAAGGAATCTACCCAGATATAATTCATGGCCCTCTTTGCCTTTGCCTCTGTGGATAAAAACCCTGTCCCCCATGCTCTGACTATAGATTATGGACAGAATTCATCTTTGCACGAGACCTCCACTGCCACCCCCTACCCGGACCAAACTGAAACACACAAGTGCTCGTCGTTCTGCCTATGCATTCTCCCACAAACAGGGCTTTGGGGCCCTCATCACTTCAGGGAAAACAATGAAGGACAGGGTATTCAAGAAAAACAGCTTTCCTTTTAAAAAGTAGAGGCCCTTAGGGAAACCCCAAAGGAATCAGTCATTGCTCTTCCTCCCTTGTATTACACAACTGAATAAGGATGGATTTAGAGCCCCGGGGAAACTAACATAAACCTGCCCTTCTGCGCTCACTCCAGGGGCTCAGCCTCTTCCTTCCCTAGAAGGCTGTGCCCAGGTAAGGCAAGGAAAGGTAAAGAAAGAGCCTCCAGATATCTGTCAGAGTTGCAGCATTTCAAGAAAAAGTGACGTCAGGCCTCCCTTCCACCAACCCTTCCAAGTTTTAATCCAGACAAGCAAATATGGAAGTGGTGAGTGAAGAGGGGCAATGTGGGAAAGAGAAAAAAAAAATATGACCTAAGAATCTTACTTTGGGCCCTATTTCCCACACCCAGAGCAACCATAAACCTTGCCACGGCCCCACACAAACATATCCCACCCAGACACCCTTCTCAGGTTTATCTGGGGGATTCAGGGTAAGTCTTTTGCTGGCCCTGTGTCTCAAAAGAAGGAGGCAGCTATGAAAAATTGGTCATAAAAAGCTGAAGGAGAGTTTCTGGAACAACAAAAAAAAGAGAAAGCTGGTTCCTGCCTTGATAAGACAGCTCAAGATTTTGCCTTCTTCCCCTCTCGTTGACCCCTTTTACCCAAGAACTGACACCTTTTCAGGCTTCAGAACTGGGAGAGGGAGACTGCCGGGGATGTTTAAAAATCTTTTCTTGAGGGGGTATAAGCCACAATTGATGAACATTTGTCTTCATTCCATAAAATTACTTTGAGAAGAAATTGTATGTACTCGGGAAGTTGTTTTTGAGAAGTTTATGGAATAATAAATTGCTTATTTTGGAGTGGAGAGATGTGTATGATCTGTTGGATCCCAGTGACAATAACGTCCAAGCAGTATTGTTGGCCCACAGATCCCCACTGCCCTCCCCACCCTCTTTCTCTTCTTCTTCAGCTCCATTGCACTTTTCTGCCCTTTGTTGCTAAACTCTATCTTGGCCTCAGTATGACCACATCCTTTAACCATATAGCTTTATCCCCTTTACACACCTTAAATATTGGTTCCCAAAGATTAGTACTAGGTTCTCTACTTATCTTTCTTAGTATGATTTTCCTGAGTGACTTCATCCAAATGCATGACTTCATTTACCAACAGAAAAAAGATTCTAAACTCTCTTAGATCTTTCTTAGAACCAGATCCATTTATTAAACTGATTTTGAAATCCTTCATTTAGTTCAATCCTAGGAAATTCATACTCAATCCACCAACCTGTATTAATCATTTCCCCCCAAAACTTCACACAGGATGCTGTCACCATCATCCCAGTCACCCAAGGCAGTGATGGAAATCATCCTATACTCTTCCTCGAGTTTGATGTCTAGTAGGTCATCAAGTAATGTAAACTCTGCCTCTTTATTATTTCTTTTTTTTTTTTTAAGATTTTATTTATTAATTTGACAGAGCAAGAGATAGCGAGAGCAGGAACACAAGCAGGGGGAGTGGGAGAGGGAGAAGCAGGCTTCCCACAGAGCAGGGAGCCCGATGCGGGACTCGATCTCAGGAGCTGGGATCATGACCTGAGCCGAAGGCAGACGCTCAACGACTGAGCCACCCAGGCGCCCCTCTTTATTATTTCTTGTTTTTGGTTCCCTCCATTATTACTACTCTTGTTCAGACTTTGATCATTTCTTATCTGAATTACTGCGTAAAATCTCCCAACTCACATTCCTCGTTTTCCCCTATCTAAAGCATCACCAATACTACTTCCAGAGTAATCTTTATAAATAGCAGAATTGATCATGTCAAACCCCAGCTTTGCACTCTTTAGTGGCTTTCCATGCCTTCTATATAAACTTAAAATTTGGACATCTTATTATTGGACCCTCTCTAGCCTTGCCTTCCACTACTGCCCTATCTGTATTCACTCCAGCCATGCCACTTCTGGTCTTCATGTCATCAAACATGTTATGTTTATATCCTACAATGTTTTCCCTCTTATATCCTACAATGTTTTCCCTCACCCCTTTCTACATCTAGCAAACTCCTAGGCACCCTTCAAAACTCAGAATAGTTGGAACTAGATAGAGGTGATGGTTGAAAAACATTATGAATGTACTAAATGCCACTGAATTGTATACTTTAAAATGGTGAATTGTATTTATGTGAATTTCCCCTCGATTTTTTTTTTTTTTGAAAGATCAGATTAGGCAGTCTCTTCCAAGAGCTTCCCCTAATTCCTCAGTGTGACTTATATACCTGTCCTATTTATTTACTTGCTTCCCTGTGCATAACTCTCTCAGTGACACTTAATCACAGGGCATTGGAATATACTTGATTCCATTGATATACTTGTCTATTCACAGCATATAATAGGACTTTAGTAAATGTCTGTTGAATGAATGAACAAATGAAAGCATATCTGCTTCCCTGCCTGGTTTTCTTCTTTCCTGAACAGCATCACCACCCACTAGCTCAAACCAGAAACCTGGAAGTCTTTCTGGACTCCTCCCTTTCCTTCTTATCCAGTCCATTCCTTACCAAGTTACATATACTCTATCTTAGTAATGTCTTGAAATCTGTCCCTTACTATTCGTCCCCAGTCCCACTGCTTTCATCATTTCTTGTCTAGATTATGGCAACGTCTGCCTCTTTGGTCTCCCTGCCTCTGACTCTGCTTCTTTCCAATCCTTCATCCATACCACAGAGAATGACCTTTCCAAATACAAATCAGATCATGTCATTTGCCAGTTTAAAATCCTTTAATGACTCATTGTAGCTTTTCTACCTGGGTGCTACCTACCTCTCCAGCTTTATCACCACTTTCTGCATTGTATGTTCTCATTTCTGCCATATCAACCTATTTGTAATTCCTCAAAGATTCCATTGTCTTCAGAAGCCTCTATGCTTAGGCTCTTTGTATTCTCTCCTCTTAGAATAAACTTCCCTCCTTTGTCTAGTGAATGTCTAACTGCTCTTCACTCTCAGCTTTGGTCAATTCCTCTGGGAGCCTTCACTGACACCCAACCTCCTATTCTGAGTTGGGTGCCTCTTCCTTGTACCAGACCTTCCTTATATTAGACCACCTGTACATTTCTCTTATTTTCAGTTCCCAAGATTTGAATGTATTATCACTCACATGCCTATTTTAGTTGTGATTTACTTCTCTGTCTTCTCTACTAGGCCATGGTGATCTCCTTGAGGAGAAGAATTTTGTTCCATTATTGTATTAAGTACTAGCACTTAGATTATTAATGTTTTTCAGTGAATGAGTAAATTAATATAATCTACTACTTTTCATTTGTCCTAAACTTGCCTCTTACCCCGTCCTTTCAAAATGAATCTTATCCTTTGGTATCTAATGCTCAGTTATACTTTCGGGGTCTGTTTTTATGAAACATGGCCACTCATGGTCTCCCTTATAAGGCATTTGTAAGAAAATAATTTGGACCTATGGTATCCCCCAAAGCTCCTGAACAATCAGCATCCTCTCCTAGTGGTTTATGTACATCTTGGGAGATATGAGTCTCTATCTCTGCTGAGGATCCAAGACAGCACATGCCACATTCCAAACTGAGGGGTGAGATGACCACACAAGACTTGAAAAAAGGGAGTGTAAAATCAAGTATGCAACTTTAAATCACCTCACCCACCTGGAGAAAAGGGCCAGAAATTCAGACATTGATAACGGATCTTTGGAGAGAATTGCTAGTGGGCTTTTTTTTTTTTTTTAAGGAAGTTTTTTGGTGTTTTTTTTTTTAAGATTTTATTTATTTATTTGACAGAGAGAGACACAGCGAGAGAGGGAACACAAGCAGGGGGAGTGGGAGAGGGAGAAGCAGGCTTCCGGCTGAGCAGGGAGCCCGATGTGGGGCTCGATCCCAGGACCCTGGGATCATGACCTGAGCCAAAGGCAGACGCTTAACAACTGAGCCACCCAGGCGCCCGCTAGTGGGCTTTGAGTCCCACCTGCTGTTCAGTTCAAATTGAGAGAGTTTTAAGGAAATTATTTGGAGAGGCTGATATGATAAATGTGTTTGGAGGATACAGAGAATGCATACCTAACTCATACCTGGAAAACTAAAAAGCAGGAGAACAATTAGCTATCCCTTTTATGGCAGAACTAGAAGAGGTGGTTGTGGTGAGATTGGCCTACACTCCCATTGTTTTTCAGGACAAAAGGATGCATGGGAACTCCCCATAGACCATATATGGGCCGTGTAACACACCTAGTTAGGGTTTCTTTATCCTGTCAGAGAGACCATCTGAAAAGTTGAGGAGATCACAGCAGAAGGAAGCAATAGATCCTCTGTCAAATGCTTAGAGATTTCTGATTAGATAAAAGGTTGCCTGAAGGTGGGATTGACTGCCTGTGAAGAGGCATGAGGTAAATTTTCTATATCTTGATTTTGGAAGTATTTACATGGGTGTATATATTTGTCAAAACTCATCAAACTGTACAGTTAGTATCTCTGAATTTTATTGTGTATAAATTATACTTCAGTAAGTTTTTTTTTATTCTTAGAGATTTTTTTTAAAGATTCATGTATTTATTTTATTTTATTTTATTATTTTTTTTTTAAGATTTTATTTATTTGAGAGAGAGAGTGAGAGACAGCACAAGAGGGAAGAAGGTCAGAGGGAGAAGCAGACCCCCTGCTGAGCAGGGAGCTCGATGGGGGACTCGATCCCGGGACTCCAGGATCATGACCTGAGCCGAAGGCAGTTGCTTAACCAACTGAGCCACCCAGGCGCCCTCATGTATTTATTTTAGAGAGACTCGTGCAAGCAGGGAGATGGGCAGAGGGAGAGGGAGAGAAGAAGACTAACCCCCCTGAGCGTGGAGCCCAATGATCCCATGATCCTGAGGTCATGACCTGAGAAGAAATCAAGACTCTGACGCTCAACCGATTGAGCCACCCAGGCACCCCTAATTCTTAGAGATTTCTAAAGGAGTCGTAAGTGACCAACTAGAGCTGAATTCACCAACGTTAAAGTAACTAAGCATAGGGACGCCTGGGTGGCTCAGTTGGTTAAGCAGCTGCCTTCGGCCCGGGTCATGATCCCAGGGTCCTGGGATCGAGTCCCCCATCGGCCTCCCTCCTCAGCAGGGAGCCTGCTTCTCCCTCTCTCTCCCTCTGCTTGTGTTTCCTCTGTCAAATAAATAAAATCTTAAAAAAAAAAAAAAAAGTAACTAGGCATAGGAGAAATACCTCCACCAGTAGAGAAGGAACCTCTGAAGAACCTACAAAAGAGCTCCTTGAGAAAGAGTCAGATTTAGATACCTGCCAAACACTAAAACTAGTTTGTGGTAGTATTAGTCAAGGAAAAAACCTTCCTCATCTCTTCCCCTTCTACCCTGCTCAACCTCTAAAGAAAGAAGGTTAGCAAGTGGGGGAAGGGAGAAAAGATAGACATCTACTAAGCCTCACCCCCTTTTCCCACTAAACATGGGCACCTATAGTAGGGCCAAGCTCAGAGATAGGAAAAACCGTAATTTTAAAGTTTGAAGTTTAAAAAAATATTTCATCATCTGGACATTTTAATTATTAAAGTAAAACAAATTGGTAAGTACTGGTTGCTACCTAAAAATGACCAGAAAATTCATGAAGTATAAAGTCTCATGGAGTGGGTTTAAAGAGTGGAAGACAAAATAAAATGGTTTTATAGTCATCCCTATCCCACAAATCCCATTCTTTCAAGGTTCCAGTTTCTCTCTCTCTCTCTCTAGCTCCATCACATTCATCCATACATACAACAAATGTTTTTTTCCTAAGACTTTATTTATTTATTTATTTATTTATTTATTTATTTATTTATTTATTTATTTATTTATTTATTTGACA